AAGAGTTTGACAACTAGTAAATAGCAGAGCCAAGCATTCAAATCAGGGAGCTTGGCTCCCAAACCACATTTTTAGACATGTGCTGTCTTGCCACTTTAACTGTCTGATTTAATCCTCACAGAGTGTTGTAAAAGAAGGGCTGAGGCAGCTGAAGTTTAGAGAGGTTAAGTGACTTGCCCAGGTGAACACCACTAGTAAGTGACAGAACTGGGATTTTAATCTCGGTACTTCAACTGTACAATTTGTGCTCTTAACAATTATGTGATACTGCTCTGAAGATGACAAGTCTTACAAAAAATAATCTTAAGTAGTGTATTTGTTAGCCTTTTAAAAATCTAAATAGTCTTGATCCTATCTATGTTAGGTTTTGGTTTAATGTTTGAGAAATCCTAATATCTGTGTCTCTCAAAGCCATACTGGGTAAACCTCCCAGGCAGATAAACATTGTGCTTTTTCTGAGTGTGTCAATTCCCAGTCTTAAAAGGCATGCTTATTTGGGGATTCCTCAGTGCCACCTCTCCCTTCCTTCATGGACTAGGAACTTACCATCATTATATCTTTATCTTTGTGATTTACATGCTTTAAGAAAGTGGAAAATACCTTCTGCTTACAGAAATGGTGGAGTTCCCTGTTTTGATAGTCAGAACACTTACACTTAATATTGTGGTAAAAGGTCTTACCACTGAAAGAAGATACTGTAACAGCAAAGTTGTTGGGGTTTTTTCCTAGCCTTATAACCACAGAAGGTTATTTTATCTAAAAATATGTTTTTCTTTTGGGAAATAATTGGGATGTGGTAACTTCTGGAGCCTGTTTTAGTGATAGTCTGGTTGTTTCAGAAAGGTTATTTTTCAAGTTGCAGCCAAGATGGAGGTGTAGGTAGAAACCCTTTGCTTCTTGGTACAACCAGAAGGAGAAAAACAACCAATCTAAAATCAATAAACAACCAGAAGTATCAGAAAATCAAACTGCATGGAACCCCGACAACCGCAGAATTAAAGAAATAGTCAAAGAGAACAACCAGACCAGTAAGGCAGCAAACAGAAATCGGGGAGGTGGCAGACCATGGGGTGGGGCTGGCTGCGGTGTGGTGGCAGGCTGCACCGGAGGGGCTGACTTAGGCGGAGACTGAGACTCAGAGGCGGTTGTGGACTATGGCAGTTGAAAGCAACAATTTGGAACAAAAGGAAGAAATAAACATCCAACTGGATCAGAATGAAGAAACAATAATCCAATAAAAATGAAGAGAGGCTGAGGAACCCCTGGGACAACCTGAAACATTTCAATATCTGAATTATTAGGAGCGCCAAAAGGAGAAGAACAGCAAGGAATTGAAAACTCATTTGAACAAATAATGAAGGAAAACTTCTCCAATCTGGTGAAGGAAATAGACTTCCAGGAAGTCCAAGAAGCCCAGAGACTCCCAAAGAGGAACACACCAAGGCACATCTCATCATTATAAGTTACCCAAGATTAAAGACAAAGAGAAAATCCTAAGAGTAGCAAAAGAAAATGAAACAGTTACCTACAAAGGAGTTCCCATCAGACTGTCAGCTGATTTCTCAAAAGAAACCTTGCAGGCAAGAAGGGGCTGGAAGGAAGTATTTGTTGTCATGAAAGGCAAGGATCTACATCCAAGTTTACTCTATCCAGCAAAGCTTTCATTTAGAATGGAGGGGCAGAAAAAGTGCTTCCCAGATAAGATCAAGTTAAAGGAGTTCATCATCACTAAGCTATTATTATATGACATGTTAAGGGGACTTAGAAAAGGGAGATCAAAAATATGAACAGTAAAATGACAATAAACTTACAACTATCAACAAATAAACCTAAAAAAATAAAAGAAAGAAAAACAACAAAAACAAAAACTAAGCAAACAACTGGAACAGGAACCGAGTCAGAGGAGTGGACATCACACAGAGGTTTTTCAGTGGAGAGGGGGAAGGGAGGAATAGGGGGTGAAAGGTACAAGGAAGAAGAAGCATAATTGGTAGGAATTATATAGGTAGGAGAGGTCAAAAATGGTATAGGAAACAGAGAACTCAAAGAACTTATATGTATAACCCATGGATATGAACTAAGAGGGGGAATGCTGGAGAGTTGGGGGACAGAATGGAGGGGTGATAAAGGAAAAAATGGGAAAACTGTAATAGCATAATCAATAAAATATAATTTTTTAAAAGGTTATTTTTTACTTTTATAACAAAAATTAGTTTTGCCTTCTTTGCCTGATTTCAGCTTCCAGGAGTTAATTTTGGTTTCTGTAGCAGCAAGAGTAAACAATTGGTAAGAGAGTAGCTAGAATTGCTACAGATTTTAGAACCTCACCACAGGACATTTTTATTTATTTATTTATTTTTTTATTTATTTATCTTTAGAGGGAAAGGGAAGGAGAGAGGGAGAGAAACATCAATGTATGGTTGCCTTTCGTGCGTCCCCTGCTGGGAATTGGCCTGCAGGGAACTGGCCTGCAACCCAGGAATGTGCCCTGATCGGGAATTGAACCGAGATTGTCTGGTTCGCAGGCCCGTGCTCAATCCACTGAGCTACACCAGCCAGGGCTTCACCACAGGACATTTTTAAAATAGTTCCAATGTTGAACACCTGTGCCGATGTTTTGATACATTTATACGGGGGGACACCCTCCCAAAATGGAATTATCTTCTGGAAGGCAGGCCCTTTGTAGTACAGGCTTCTCCTGTTAGGTGAGTGTTGTAGGAACCCATCTGTATCAGTGTACCAGCTGGCATTATTGTGAGAGGCTGTGAGAAGCTTCAGTGAATGTTTTTTTGAAGACTTTTCCAACACCTTTGTCTATTTCATGATGGATGATTTACAAGCACACCTGCCCACACCACTCTGAGTGTTCAGCAGTTTTTGACTAAAAATGACATGACTCCAGTGCCCCACCCTCCCTATCCACCTGATCTGCCCTGAGTGACTTTTTTGTTTTGTTTTCCCTGGATGAAAAAAGTCCTCAAAGGGAAACATTTCATTAATGTGGAAGAGATGAAACAAAAAATGGCAGAAGCACTAAAAGGCATCAAAATCAAGTTCAAAAACTGTCTTGAGCAGTGGAAAAAAATGTATTGATCAGTGTAGTGCATTAAATGGAGAGTACTCTGAAGGTCACTGAAGTTTAATGTATAAGAATAAATACACAATTTTTAATAAATATGTTCTGTTCCTCTTTAGGTCCCCTCATTTTTGGTTGCTGCGAACTGAATATACATTTATAATTATTATATATTCCTGGCCCTTTTATCATTGTAAAGCATGTATCTTTGTCTGTAGTGATATTTCTTAGAGTTTATTGTGCTTTTTATTAGCTATAGCCGCTCTGTCTCTCTCATGATTACTTTTTGCATGGTGTATTTTTTATTACTTTCCATATACTTTTATCCTTGAATATAAAGGCAGCATATGGTTGGATTTTTCTTGGACTGGAACATTTTATCCATTCATACTTAATGTAATTATTTAATAGCAGTAATTAAACTGACCAATGGAATGCAATAGAGAACCAAGAAACAGACCTACGCATATATGGAAATAATATAGGACTAAGGTGGCATTGCAAATGACAGGTGGGAGAAAGGAATGCTGAATAAATCATGTTGTGGCAACTAGATAGCCATATTTAAAAAAATAAAATTTATTTTCTACTTCAGAATTTATACAAAAATTTGGATGGATTAAAGACTTAAATTGAAAAGGCCAAACTAAAACATTAGAAGATAGTGGAAGAGAATGAGAATATCTGTGACTTTAGAGTGGTTAAGGATTCTTGAATAAGAAACAAAAAGTAGTAATAAAGATTGATAAATTTGACAATATTGAAAAGTTTAAGTTGTATTTATTATCACCATAAAGATGGCAAAAAGACAAGTCCAAATTGGGAGAAAAAAAACTCATAGCTGCTACAGATTAATACCTAGGATATATAAAGAAATCCTACAAATGAATGCAAAAAGAAAATCTGCTAGAAAAGTACAGAAAAGACAGGCATTTCACAGAAGTAGAAACATGGCTTAAGATTGTTCAGTCTCAGTGAAGATTAGGAAAGTGCCTAGTTTAGACCACAGTGAAATTCTATTTTATGCTACTAATTTTGCAGTAATTTTTATGTTTCCCCCACTCATCTCTGACATGTATACCTTAAACTTTAGTGTACCAAAGTTTTGAAATTCTCTCGTTACACTATTTTCTCTTATTACCTGGTTGCCAAAGTTGTCATTATTGTCACCTAAAAAGTTCTTCCTTCTCTCATGCAGTGATTTTAAAAATGTGGTCCCGAGACCAGCATCAGTAATATCACCAATGTACTTGTTAGAAGTGCAAACACCCTAGCCCCACCCCAGAACCATCTTTTGAAGGATGTTTGTGTAGTGATAAACTTTGTAAGTTAGAGATATAATTTCTCTGTAGAGCTGAGAGCAGCTTTTCTTGCAGGCCATTATAAAAGGTTGGGGTTTCCTGTGCTCAGGGTTCTTTTCCTTTAACACAGCCACTGTTTGTGCCGCTAAGTAGCCTTGTCCCATCACCCAGTGGGAAGTGGACTTTGGGAACTGCAACAAAAAAAAATCATGGTAGTCCTATTGCTATGAGTGAAAAACTGGCATTTCTCTCTAACCCAAGAGCCTTACGTCTTTTGTCATGTCCATGAAACTGACTATTTAGCTTTCAAGTAGGTGAGCTAGCTAGTTTGTAAGCAGAAGTTTCACAGTTCTTGACATAGGTCTGTCATGATAGTTCTCTGAAGTAGGAACCATTGCTTTTAGTAATTATTAATAGGAAGCAAAGTATTGATCAATAAGCCTAATGTATAGTAAGACACATCCTTTTTCAGTGTCAGATTTTGACTTTCAGTTATTTTTTTAGAATGTCTCTATTACCCTACTTTTATTTATGTCCTTAATTTACTCATTTATCAAGCAAAAAAAATGTGTATTCTTTTTGCTCTGATTTTTCTCAGGTTGTGTCACATTAGAAGCTGGGCTGATCCAAAGACAGATGGCTGAAAGTGCTGAGAAAGGAAAAGGAAAATGGACAACCACCATCATTATTAGCTCATCTCTTAAGGTAAAGAGGTATTTGGGCCATTGATCTTTAATTAAAACATTGAAAGGGATAGGACAGTACTTTAAAAGATCCTTAGCTTGATTATCTAAAGTTGTGTGGATCAGCAATTATGTAAGTTAAATGTACTTTAAATGATAAACTTTACTGCATCCATTTTCAACACCCTAACTTGCCCTAAATATTTGAGGGTTGGAAATTTTCTGAAATTATTTTTTTTCCTCTCAGCCTGTTCTAATAGAGATGTTAAGAAATTCCAGAAACAGTAAAACATGTGCACATACATATTATTTAAGATTTTTAAAAAGATTTTATTTATTTATCTTTGGAGGGGAAGGGAAGGGAAGGAGAGAGGGAGAGAAATATCAATATGTGGTTGCCTCTCGTGCGTCCCCTGCTGGGAACTGGCCTGTAACCCAGGCATATGCCCCGACTGGGAATCGAACCTTGGTCCTTTGGTTCTCAGGCCCGAGTTCAATACACTGAGCTATACCAGCCAGGGCAAGAATTTGAGTTTGTTTTTAAAGATGCTTTTTAAAGACCCTTTCAACATTGATCTTCAAAACCCAGAGTATTAAATAAAAGTAGACAAGAACTTAGTCATTTGGCTCTGAAGTTATTGGTAGCTAATTTTTCTATTTCAAACTGAGTGATACTATCTTGGTTTTTCTTTTAACTGGATGCTTACTGTATGCTGACTGTTTTTAATATTCTTTATTTTCTTTTAAACCTTGTAGTGCTCCAAGTGTATTACCTAGTTCAGAGTGGTAACCTAGAATAGACTTGACATTCTTACTCATGAACTGCATTGATAGCAACATGTTATGTCTTGAGGCAGATATAAGATCAAAAATAGTGTTTTCTAACTTTATTGATAATTCAATTTTACTTTTAGAATTATTTAAGAAAAATTTAAATACATGAAGTTAAAAGTTTTCATGTATGTTTTTATACCAAAAAGTGCTCGGTTCCCCTGAGTGGCAGATCCTTAATGAAATAAGCCATTTCTTTACACTTATTCTTTCTCTACGTGGAGAAATGGAAAGTGCCACGCAGGAGCTCACAGAAGCCTCAGGATCAGGACAAGTGAAGTGCTTTTCTTTGCTGCCCAAAGCTCCCATGTGTATCATGAGAGGTCTTATTTATGCAACTACAAAAACTGCTTTAAGGCCCTTGAATAAAATGTTTAGAACTGTTTTTTAATTTTGCAGCCTCCATTAATTACTTACTTAAATGAGTGTTATTACTTCTCTTCCTCATCTGTTCCATTTTATCTTGGAAAAGCAGTCAGTCGTCTTATTTGAAGTCATAGGATACGAATTATTGTACAATGTGCAATATTTTATGTCTGGAATATCACTACATAAAAGATGTAAAGCTGAGATTTCAGATACACACACACACACACACACATATATATTTTTTAAACCAGACATGTTCTTAAAGTTTATCTAATTTTTCATGTGGTAAATGAGGAAGCTAAGGGCCCAAGAGTTAAGGGACTTACCCAGAATTACGCAGCTAGTTAGTGGCAGAGACGGAACTACTGCCCAGCTGTTCTGTCTTCGGATCTACTTATCTCACTGCCCTGCCACAGTCCTGTCAGCCCACTTAACTGTCTCATGCCAGATGCAGTAGCAGTTCCATGAAGTGTTTAGATGAATAAAAATCAACTACTTATTTCAGAGGAGAACCCAACATCTAGTAACTAAAAATCCACTCTAACCTAGTATTCTTTACTTTTCTTGAAGCATCTTTTTTTTTTTAAGATTTATTTATTTACTTATTTATGGGGGGGGGAGGGAGAAAAAGAAGGAGAGAAATATCAGAGAGAAACATTGATAGGTTGCCTCTCACATGCCCCCAACTAGGGACTCTGCCTGCAACCCAGGCATGTGCCCTGACTGGCAAACCAGTGACCCTTCGGTTTGCCATCTGGTGCTCAATCCACTGAGCCACAGCAGCCAGGGCAGGGCCTGGACTTTGTTGCCATCTAAAGCTGGGGGACAGTCTGACTTATTTCTTCATATTATGCTTCTAAAATCTTAGCTTTTAAATATTACATGATTTACTAAAAGTAGAGGCAACTAAGATGTTCTAGCCAAATTTGACATTTCTAGAAACAGAAAACTAGATAAAAATAGTCCACTCAATTTCATATATACCTCTAATTTTAAAAAATACAAGCTTACTCAGTAACATAAATTAGCTCAAGTATTCAATACATTGTTTCAAAAGTTCATTATTTAACTGGTGACCAAACTCCTAGCAATCGTTTCTAGATTAATTTTTTAAATTTCCAGGGCTATATATCTTTCCATTCATTCTTTACCTTCAAAGAGAATGTATAATATACCACATTCAGAAAAAAACTATAATAATACCACACAGGATACATTACTTTTATTCAAAACTTTTAGACCACTTTCTAGTTTAATTCATATTCATAAAAAGAAGGTGTTCTACCCAATTATATGCATCTATATATCCTATTCCTACCATAGGTAAAAAAGATTTTTAAATTTCTTGAGGAAAATATAGGTTTCTAATAATGGTAATTTCATTAAGGAACTGGAGTTGAATCATGAGACTATGATACAAAAGATAGGCCTGGTAGAAGCAGGTAAGGTGAAACAATAAAGCCACTTAGAAAAGAAAAAAGAAAAAGCAGCCCTGGCTGGTGTAGCTCAGTGGATTGAGTGCAGGCTGTGAACCAAAGGATCACCACTTCAATTACCGGTCGGGGCACATGCCTAGGTTGCAGGCCAGGTCCCCAGTGGGGGCCACATCAGAAGCAACCACACATTGATGTTTCTCTAATTCTCTTTCTCCTTCCCTTTCCCTCTCTCTAAAAATAAATAAAATCTTTAAAAATGTGTATATATATACATATATATATATGTATATATAAAAGCAAAGTGAGGAAAGGAGTTAGAAACTTGAAGACAAGATACCAAGGAAAGAAGCCCCTTAGAAATATTAACTAAGGGAGTAGATGTTGAGGGATTTCTAGGATAAAATCTGGGTGAGCAGTCAACCTAGACAATATGCAGAATCAGTCTGAACCAGGGGTTTGGAACTGGTACTCAGTTACAGAACCGAAGGAGCGGCCTCAGGAGATGATTCAGACTTGGATGTTAAGCTGTGTCCTGTGGGATTTCTTCTGAGGTTGTTCCAGACTCTGCGGAAAGTTCGGTGTAGTCTTACTGTCGAGGAACTTACGATCTGATGGGGAAAAGTGTGACAGTTAATTTAATAAAGGCTATATAGTTATTACTGGTAGTGACTACTTAATAGTTCAGAAATGAGAGGTAACATAGCACTTAATTTCATTTATTTTAATTAATGGGTCTTATACTCTCCTTGATGCTTAGGAACAACCTAACCTGTAAATTTCTTGATGGTAAAGATTGTGTCTTATTTAGCTTTATATTCTTTAGAGTCTTTCAAAAGTCCTCAGCGCTATGAACTCACAGATTCAATCAGTTGTCTTGGTGTTCAAATTGTCCTCTATTTGATCAGTGGGAACTCTTTCCAGCTTGCACCAATTTTTTTTTCTGTACCTTAAGTGGTCTTTGAGCTTTTCTGTGTTTTCTGACACTAGAGGACAATTTTTTAAAATCCTTATCCAAGGATATGTTTTGGTTTTGTTTTTGATTTTAGAGCTGGGGAAGTGAGAAAGAAACATTGATCAGTTGCCTCCCATAGACGCCCCAACCGGGAATCAAACCCACAGCCTGGATATGCACCCTGAACAGTGATCAGACACGCAGCTTTTTGGTTTATGGAATGATGTTCCAAGCACCTGAGCCGCCATCCTGCCAGGGCAAGGCGACAAATTTTTAATAGTACTTTACATCAAATGAGTGTACCTAGATGTCCAATAGTATGGTAGTAAAACAATGCTTATTAGTACTGATCTTATAAATTACTTCATAAGTGGTCCCCACAATTGCTGCATGACAATTACATTGGAAACATAAGTCATAAGAAACCACTTCAAGAGAAGCCAGGTGCCAAAACACCACTTGAGTTATGAGAAATAGAGGCAGGTGATAATAATCAAAAGGAAATGAAGTCAATGATAAAGCCTATAGCGACAGGCTTTATAATTACTTATAGTAGTTCTTCAGCGAATTTAATTCAGTAAGGGTGGAAAATGCTTTTTCTTTTTTTAGCGTTCCCATGAATAGACCACCTAATAGCGTACTCTTAGATCTTACTAATAGAGTGTGCTTGAAGACTTCATTCAACCTGATATGGGCAACCAAAATTAGCTATGGTTTTAAAATCCAGTGAACTTACTGCTGTACTCAGGTTTCAAATAAGTGTTCATTTTTTAAGTTTATTTATTTAAAAGCTAATTATCTCTACTCTGCATCTAACTCTTAATTTTCTCCTTTCTCCTTTCATTATCATGCCAGTGTGAACTTTTAAACACATCCATAGAACAGAAAAGACAGGGGAAAATTGATAATTATTTAAGAACCTCATAAATCCATGTAATTTATGAGGTTCTGAATAGCAGTTTGGGGTTGTTTTTGTTGTTGTTGTGTTTGATTTTTTATTTGACAAGTTTAGTTTTGTGTCTGCTCTCCATCTTACTACATGGTTGAGAAACGGTCACCTTTAGGGGAGTGGAACCTCGAGCGGGGCCTAGCTCTGCCGCTGACCCGCTGTGACCTCAGGATGCCAGCATCATACTTTCATGCAGGCCGTGCTCATCTGAACATCTTTTAGCTCCCAGGCATCCCCAGCCTTGCCTCAGTTTCTGCATTCCAGAAGTTACAAAGCCCTTTCCATTCCAGTTCCATGCTAGATGTATAAAATCAGTAGCCCCAGCTGTTAAGGAATTCAGACTGGTAGGGAAAGGCAGTCAGTGTGGGCAGTGCTATGGTAGAACCGCAGGGCACCATGGTGTAGAAACATGTCACAGAGTCTCTCGGTGTGTATTGAAGGAGCAGATGATAGCCAGAAAAAGGAGAGTAGGAGAGCGGCCATCATATGCAAAGGTTTGGAGGCAAGTCAACTCCCATGGGAGGCTGAGAAGGAGCAGCTATAAAAAAGCGAGAGGAGAGTCAGTAGAGGGGGCACCTCTGAAACCAGAGACTTTTCCTGGTCAGATCATTTGTAGTGTGTGGTGCTGAAAGTAAATTCATGGAGATTGATCTCAGGAACACGGGTACAGCTTTCTTAATCAATCAAGTGGAAATTTATAAAATGTAATCTTCCTTGATTATATTGTGAATTATATTCCTTTTAAAGCCTGAGTCCAAACTATGCATCTCAGAGCCAATTTTAATCTTTTCAGTCTTATTTAGATACTCCTTTGCTAGTATTTACCAAGCTACCCAACACATAACACTTGTTTTTTAGTGCTGTATATTCTGAAATATTAGTCCAGGTCCTCAACTATACCAGAATTTCAGAATATAGTCAATCATTTGAAAAACCTTATTTTTTTTTGCATCAAGTAATTGAATTCTCAAATGCTAGGTTTTTTAAAAAAGAAACAGTAACATAGTATTCAAATTAAGAACATTTGAAAATGTGCTCCCCAACTTCGTGTCAATTGAAGATTTGACTAAAGATGAATAGCTAACTCTCTCAGATTTATAAATACTAAAACTTTTACACTGTGGTTGAAAGTCTTTAGTGCAGTAAATCATGTGCTTTTCATGTACCGTATCTCACAGATGCAGTTGGAGGTGAGATAATCAGATTTTTACTCCCAACAAGCTGGACAGCTGAAATGTCATAGGAATAATATGTGTCAAAGACTTGGTGCCACTTTGCTGCCTGTCTGATTTAAGTGGTTGTGGTCAGTCTGAGGAACCTGTGATATAAGATAGCATTCATTAGGTCATGTGGTTTGCAGGTGCCCAATCTTAACTAAGCAGCCTGTGTGCCCTTGGAATGAGGAAGAGGGGGATACTGACCATGTCTTTTTGAGAGCTTATGCCGTGTTTACTGACACAGTGGTGTGTGTGGTTATGTATGTATATTATGCATTTTTAATTATTTTTTGTCAGGAGTTAGTTTAGTTTCTGAAAAAAGTGAATATTATAAATGCATCCATCTTCTTTTACTTAATCAACCAGAAGCATTATACTTTTATTATCAATCTTTTCTGCCTATTTAAATGAAGTTGTAGACAGTAGTCACCATTTTTTTTAATTTTGAGGAAAAAAATGGACGTTGAAAATTAACATTGTTGGTGCCTTTTTTAAATTCAGTTCAATTTTCTTCATTGCCTAAATAGAAAATTGTTTATTTTCAGTTTGGCAAGAGCTCCATTGGAAACACACCCACAAAATAGCTTACACACACAAACACACATATATGAGCATGTAGCTTTAGTAACATACAGTTCACATCAGTATAGCTCACCCATTTAAAGTATGCAATTTAGTGTTTTTACATTTTTATCAATCTAAAAATTCTACTTCCATTAGCAGTCATTCCTCATTTTCCCCAAACGTCCTTCATTCAGCCCCAAGCAACGAATAATCTACTTTCTGTCTCTATAGATTTCCCTATTCTGGACATTTCATTTAAATGGAATTATATGATATATTATTATCTGTGGTTGGTTTCTTTTACTTAGCATAGTATTTTCAGAGCTCATCCATGTTATAGTATGTGTCAGTACTTCATTCCTTTTACTGCCTAATAACATTTCACCATATGGGTGCACCACATTTTATTTACACATGGGTCAGTGGATGGACTAATATTCCATGAAACATACAGAGGTGGGTAAAAGTAGGTTTACTGTGCCATTGTGACATTCTTTTGAGTCAATACAGCTATTGTAATAATCATAACCTGCATGTGTTTTTCCAAACAACTGTAAACCTACTTTTTGGCACACCACTGTATTTTGGTAAATCTAGTCTTAGCTCCTGGTTATTCTGAAAAATTAACTCTTCAGTTTACATGTTTTCTCTTAACTAAGTTCTAATTTTATCTTTTAAAAAATAATTTATGTATTTATTTTTAAAGAGAGGGGCAGGAAGGAGAGAAGGACAGAAACATCAGTATGTGGTTGCCTTTCACGTGTCCCCTACTGGGTACCTGGCCTGCAACCCAAATGTGCCCTGGACTGGGAATTGAACTAGTCACCCTTCGGTTTGTAGGCCTGCGCTCAATCCAGTGAGCTACACCAGCCAGGGCTAATTTTGTCTTCATTATTTTCTTTTATTATTTTCTTTTAGTTGGCTCTATAATTCTTTTAGTTGGCCCTCCCAGTAGGATAGTATTGAAATTCCTTAGTATGGCATACATGAGTCCTCACAGTCTGCAGGCAGTTACTCTAATACTGTCCCCAAATTAAACATACACCTCACGAACACCTCACGTATACACCTTACATACTTACCATATAAGAATCATACTTTCAGTTCCGAATGCCTTTGTGTTAGTCTTTCTGTCCAGGTTGTTCTCATATTTGTCTTCCTCCTTCATTTGTCTGCTTAAATAATGTGCTCTCCACTTTTTAAAAAACATTTTAAGATTTTTACTTATTTTTAGAGAGGGGAAGGGAGAGAGAGAGGGAGAAAAACATTGATGTGTGACAGAAACATCAACTGGTTGCCTCTTGCATGTCCAACACCACCCAACCCACTGAGCCACCCCAGTCAGAGCGCTGCTTTCCACTTTAAAGATCTGACTCAAATTTTATTAAGCTTTCTTGACCCTTTCACTTCTGTCACAACACACCTTTATATATAGTTTCTGGTTCTTTGTCAAAATTCTTGACTTCATCTTTTGTGACCACAGTAAATAGCTATTTTAAGGTCTGTATCTTATAACTTCACTATATGTATCCCCTGTGTCTGTTTATACTTCCCGATGCTTCTGATGGTTCTCTTTCATGTAATCTTGTCTCTTGTGTATCTGATTCTTTTTTATTGTGTTGGAATTTATATTTGTAAAATTGTTTCTAAAAATAATCTGAGGCCTAAAAGAGTTCTGTTCCTCTAGACAAGTCTTGACCCTGCAACAGAACTAAAACTCTAATGCCCTAAGGTTGCCAGGTAAAATATAGGACAGTCAGTCAAATTTGAGTTTCAGATAAACAATGTTATTGTAAGTACCTCCCAAATATTGCATGGGACATACTTATGCTAAAAATTATGTTATCTGAAATTCAAATTTAACTGGGTGTTCTGTGCTTTTGTTAGTCTAGCAACCCAAGCCCTAAGGTGTCTATTTTGTCTAAAATGAACTTAGTTCCTATGTATCTAGAATGGTACTAGTATAGGAGAATTGAGAAAATAGTCACGCAAGTCATTGTTCTGTAGTTCAAGTGAGACCGGATGGAGAAAGCTTGCTCTAGAGTGTGCTTCTGCAAGGTGCTTGGGAGCACTAGTAATACAGTGTCAACTTAATACAATTTCAGGGATTGAAGTGATTTGAAGCCAGGCTGCAGTCCCTGTGAGAGCCGTTCTACTTTTGTCAAAGGCTGTGTTCAGCCTCTCATCTGTCTTTTCCTGAATTGGCAGATAGATGCCCTCAGGGAAAAAATGGCCTAAATGCCGGTCTCGTCTCTTTAAATTTCTGCAGATCTTGGTCCTATAATTTTTATCCTGCTAGCTCTCTAATGCATTCGGGCAGATTTTAAAAACAGTCCAGCCTTCCAGTTGCCTTCAACAGGAGGGTTGGCCTAAATTACTTTGTCTGCCATCGCTGGAAGCTATGTATAATTTTAAAACAGCAGAAGAAACTCATGGAAGTGTCATAGTTGAACTCTAGGTAAGGATCTGTTTGAATGTCACAAAATACTCCTTTTAGGAAAGAAAGGAAGCATACATATATTTTATACCTAATTCCAGCTGGTGTGCTTAAAATATACATGATCTGAGGAAAAAATGTACTTAAGGGATTTTTTTATGTACTTGAAGAAAAACAAGCTTGAGGTTTTGACCAATCAGGAAACAGTATTAACCACTTATATTTTAGTATCTTGGGTATTATGATCTAATTACTTGGTAGAATCAGAAGTGAGTTTTGAAATGGTTAGTACTTAAATCAAAAGTTTGGTTGCTGTTTTCATACGTTTTCTGACTCATCTAAGGCTTAAGACATTTTAAAAATATACTAACAGTAACTGTAAAGTAAACATGAATTTGAGAATTGGTTGTCTCTTTGTGGCATTCTATGTCTGGCACTTCACTGTTCTGTCGACCGTCTGAAAAACACACCATCACCCACATTCCTGTTTATACATTAATGCATGTCAGAATCTATCCCTAAGTTTCTGTTGTTGTTGTTGTTTTAAAGTTTGCTTTGCTGCAGTTGTTATAATGCTTCATTATGTCCTTAATTTCTGTCCCTAAGTGACATAACTATAGTACACAGCTCATTTCCAAAACTGCAATAAATGTGTCTGGGCAGAACTAAATATTTTTTCCTCCTTAGAATATTTAGTGTCTCTTGATGATCAAATTTTTGAGGTATAGTTATAAAATAAGCTCTTAAACTTATTTTACTATATTAGTTTTAATAAATAACCTTCTAAGCATGTCTTAAGTTTGTATTTCTGAAATTTCTTTAAGAGTTGTGAAGTTGCAACTGCCCTAGAAAATCGAAGCCACAAGGTTCGGTATTCAAATGCAGTGGAAAGTGGATCGATTATATTTTCTTGTACTGGTACAGTATATTTGCTAACTGCCTTGATTGAAGTTTCTTATAAAATATGTGGGTATAAGTTATAATAATTTGGTGGTTTATTAACTAAGTAATAAGCTAAGCTACTATCTTTTTGGAGAAACAGTTACATGTGAAAAACTTGGTTATTGCTTGGCAACTAATATGGAAATAGAACAAAGCCACCTCCCTGATAATTAACACTTGTATTAAAGTATTACCTATGTTAACAAAGAAGCTGGCAACACAATATTGGTCAAAATCCATACACAAAACAATGTGAGAGTGTTTTTTATGACTTTGTACAAGAGTTTGCTGAATATAATATAAACAAATACTAACCAAAAGAACCCATAGGGACATGCAAGTGTTCCTTGAATTATAATACACACAACTAATATAAGTCATGGGCAAAGTATGGGAATATTAGATTAGGATATGAGAAGGGTCAGTTCCACTTGTGCCTGGGAAACTATACAAGTGATGAGAGGTGGAGATGAAGGATTTTATTAGGGGGGCTGACGCTAGCAGAGCTTCTGGAAGAGGCGCTTTCAAAAGCTCCTAGAAACTAACCTACACAGGCTGAAAGTAGTCACTCCAACCTCAAACTCATCATTCCTGGTTGAATGGAGCCCTCTAGGGAAAAGTAAAATATTTTTGGTGAATACCCACCCATTATGTATGTGCCTTCACCACTTTATAGATATTATCTAATCTTTAATCCTTTCAGCAAACCTATTTAGCAATTATTATTCCCATTTACAGATGAGGTGACTTATGTTCAGAGAGGTTATATAAATTGCCCAAGTTCCTTAGTTAGCATATAATCACAGTCTTAGATTATATCTTTTTTTAAAGATTTTATTTATTTACTTTTTAGAGTGAGGGGAAGGGAGGGAGGAAGAGGAGAGAAACATCGGTGTGTGGTTGCCTCTCATGCGCATCCTCCACTGAGATCCTGGCCTGCAACCTGGGCATGTGCCCTGACTGGGAATCAAAGCAGCAACCCTTTGCTTCACAGGCCCGTGCTCAATGGACTGATCTACACCAGCCAGGGCTAGATTGTATCTTTTAAAGAACTAACTTTATCATCTTTTAAAGGGCTAATTAGATCAGGTTTCCCTCCCGGACAATTCTTATATGCCTGATACTATCATTCTAGGTATCTGCTTACTGAGTTAATTAATTTATATAATAGTTTGTATTCTAGTACAAAGGTTTTTTTTCAAGAAATAAAGGCTTGCTTAAGACTACCTTTGTTTAGTTGATTTCCAGCTTTTAAAAATTGTAACATGGAAAGTTAGCTTTTATGTAAAATTAGGCATTTACCTTCATTGTGCCTTAGTCTGAAAAAAAAAATGGTTACTGACAAAGTTTTTCCCCCTTAAACATTTAGAATAAATCACCCTTTTATACAGAGCACTTCAAAGAACTACCTAAATTATTTTGTTGTGTAAGAATTTTGTTAATTTCTACTCCTTATAGGTTTAGGGCCTAGACACCTAAAGCTATGCTATACTTGTATCTACTTTTGTTGATTTTAGTAAGTTTATAAAAATTTTGATTTTTATGATGAAGTGATGTTTTATATTACATCCATCTTTCCTAGGAGTTGCATTTTTATTGATGGATGCTAAAGAATTCTTTATGTCAGCTGAAGAAATATTTCTAGCCAAAATTGAGAAGTTCATTAACATTCACCAAAACAGTTTTTTGATTCTATCTGCAGCCTTCCATGGGCTTGAGGAATGGAAACTGATGTTCAGGATTCAGCAGAGGTAGGGAAGAGCACTAGGACTCATTTTTCTTAAATTATATTGTCTTTACTTCAATTCTTAATTCTTTTTAGGCAGATGAGTTATATTTTTCCAAAAGATAACCTTTATAATGTTAATTTGTCATATTTAATAAAGTGCAGGCCAAATGGCTATTCTGTGAGTCAGAGTGACAGTTTCAAAGTTCATGCTGATTTCTGGGATTCCTGCAAGACCAAACTGAAACTGAACACTTTTATTCATTTAAGTTCTGACTACAAAACTGTATCAGTTCCTCTGTGAAATAAGCCAGAGTATGAATGAATTAAAAAAAAAAAACACAAGCAATAAGAGGTTTGTCTCTTTATTCACTTAAGAGAGAAGATGTTAGTAAGTCATATGATCTATTTAACTTATGAATTGATTTTTCAGATTCCTGGGTAGTAAATTACGAATACTTCCAGTACACAACACACTAAATGCTGTTAATCTTATGTGCACTATAGCTAAGGTGAGTCACCTGTGGAAAATGACACATGCATACACTCACACACTCCAAAATGCATACCGTCTTGAGTGGGGCTGACAGATACTCTGCTCCAGTTCCCTGAGAGAAGTTGCTATTTCAGCATGTACTGTAACTCTCCCCCAAGTCTGAACTCACCCTCTCAAGTCTTCTCAATGTATTTCTGGTAGCCACTAACAGAATGACTCATTTTGGCTAAAAGAGCATTTGGCGATATATATACTATATTGGCCCTATTGGTTACTTAAATCTTACTTCAAATTCTAAAGTACACATATCGGGCAAGTTGTAGTCATCAGCTGAGTGCAAACATACAGTTTTATGGAAGCCACCCCACCAGCTGTCCTCTTTTCATGCTTATCTTCCTGTGCACCCGACTTCCCTAGGCTATTACATGTTCCTTATTCAACTTTGGAATAGGTCCCCATTAAAGCCGTCGTTACAGAATTCTACTTTTTGGCTTTCACGTTTGAAATTCTTGTAATTGAAAGGTGTTTTTTAAATCCTTGCCCAAGTATATGTTTTTATTGATTTTAGAGAGAGGAAGGGGGAAACATCAACTGGTTGCCTCCTGTATATGCCCTGACTGGGACTCAAACCCACAACCTTTTGGTATAATGGACAATGCTCCAACCAAAGGAGCCACTGGGCCAGGGCAAAAGTTAGGATTTTTTTATTTGACTCTGTAAAAAGACCTTACTTCTATAAATAACACTGCATGTTTTTATCTTTTTCCAGATCACTTCCAAACCATACATAGAGAGCATATGCTACAGAATGATAGCAACTAAAGCTTACATCATTGAGCACAGTCCTGTTTGGAAAACTCTTCAAAAGATAAATCTCAGTGATTCATTTAACCCAAATTAGAGTATCAATTATAAAAGTTCTTTTGGAAGAATATTAAAATAATTAGACTGATTGAATTATAATGTTCAAATATATAGTTTAAAGCTTTTTAAATTTTAAAATAATAAAATATGTACAATTCAAAGTGATTTTATTTTCAGAAGTTTTGTTGAATAATTCCTTTAACAATATTTAGGAAAATAGGTGTGATACCCAATTTAAAATACTAGGAGTTCTAACTATAACATAGCATCTAACTGGAACAAAAAATGTATAAGTATGTTAATAAACTCATTAAACTATATGAATGAATAAAGACAAACTACATTTGGTGACATTATAAAATTATTAATTTGTATTGAATTTTAACAGTAGTATTTATCATATATGGGCATTATTTATCAGGTTATATTTTTAAAACCAAAGAATACTACTTATACATAATGTATCATTACAGAACCTGATAAGCTACATTTATTTTTATAACGGTGTTTTACAGAAAATTTTTTGTAAAGGCATTAAATCATATTGGAAAATACAGTATTTTACTAACTTTTATTTAGGAAACAAAGCTTTCACTTTATCCCAGTATTTTCTCCAGAGGTAGACTTTGTTTTTATTTCAATGAGTTCTTCTACTCGAGCCAGAACACTTTCAATCAAATCAAATGTGTAAAGTGCTGAATGTAGGACCTGCAAAGCCAAGGAAATTAATGTTCTTAAGCCTGCATTTCAAAATAAACACAGCAAAAAATGAAATACTTCAGGTGTGCGTAGCTTAGGAAAATTTTAGATCTACCTTAAGCTGCATTTCAGGAGGCATATTAGGGATCTCTTCTCCACCTACAGTTACAGAACAAAAGTCTTTAGAATTCTGGAATTCTGAAAAAGAAGAAAAAAAAGTCACGTGTCACACTTAACCATTAAAACAACTCTCAGATTTAAAAAATAAATTTAAAAGGAACTTTCATCATTCCCTTAAAAAAATATGTCCATTATTCATGTAAACTTGTCGTAGTGTTTAATAGCTCAGGATATGTTTAAATCAAGCTGTTAGCAAATAAAAATATCAAAATTCTGTAACATGTGAATTAATGTTTCTTTAGCTAGCATCATTTTGGCATGTACACGATGAATGAAAATTTATAAACTTTTTTCTTTAGTGTGTAATCAGAATTACATACATTACACTGAAAAAGAATTTCTAGTAATGCCTATAGAAAAATTACCACAGCTATATGGAGAAGATCACAAAATTATTGTAGAACTACTGACTTTAAAAAGTAATTCTGGACCTAAGATTCTTTTTCATAATTTGTACAGATTTACTTGAGGGTGGACCAAACAATACCTAGGAACACAATGAGACCAAACAGAAATACTTGTAATAGTTAGATTCCTACTTAGGACTTGAGATTTTTAAACCAGAATATGTTTCAATTGGTTTAAGTCTTACTTAATCCAATTTTGGTGTTAACCGGCTTATAGACCTAAGAATAATTATATTATAAATAAAATGACTACTGTCATAGTTCCTTGTTTGCTGTTAGATAAGTACAAGATTAAAAAAAGTTCTTTATTCTGAATAGTGTTAAAATTTGATTTTTAGACCTAAGCAAAAATGAAATTGTACATTACCAACCTTGGCTATTTTCTTGGCTATTTTTAATTTCTGCTTCATAATGTGCTTTTGACATATTAAGTCCTATATGGAGTGGCTTTAAGTAATTATTCTCAATTTTTCCAAGTTCTGTCCATAATCCAGTCTGTTAGAAGAATTAATGAAAAAATTAGTTACTTGATATAACATTTATTGATTGCCTATTATTAAACATGTGTTTAAGAGTTGGAGAAACAAGAATTAAGACAGGATCCTTGCCTTGTAAGGTAGAGTGTACTATTTAACAATACACTCACTACTACATCTAGTTATTTTATGTGAATACCAAACCAAAAAAAAATTTACTTTGGTTGCTACACTCACTGCTGTGCCATTTTGGTAGCTCCTAGTTTTGGGATCTGTAACTTGCAGGAGAAAATTATTTGAGGATAATACACATGGTCTATGATATTTCTCTTTCCCTATATTCCCACAATGACTCTACCTTATATATCCCTTCAACTCTTGATCTTTCCATGATACTCTTCTCACAGATATAGTTCTAGAGAATTCTTTTCCTTCCCTTTTGATGGCAACTTTTCTAACACAAAGCTGATAAATGGACTTTCTTGGTGATAAATGTAAATGGAGATTTTAACTGCCTGGGACAGCTTACGTTTATTTGGTCACACATATTAGACATTTTTATTCCAAGAGTATTTCTTCCCATAGTACTAAAAGGAGAGGAGTCATACAGTCTTAATTTTTTTTTAAAAAGGATAAAGTCCATTGATATTACTAAGTTTACAGGTACTCTTTACAAAGGAAACTATCTTAGGTAAAAAAGGAAACTTAGGAAATTCTGGTCAAGATATTGGTGTAGGTAAATGTGGTACTTGATTCCTTCCACAACCACATCAAAATTACAACTAAACTATAGAAACACCATTCAGAACTGACTGTAATCTAGCTGAACAGAAGTCCTACAACTAAGGTTATAAAGAAACCACATGGAGACTGGTACAAGAATAGGAGTGCACTGGTCTCACACCCACCTATGGTGGTCTAAAATCAGGAGGGATTCCTTGGCTGCAGAGCTACCCCCTGAGTAGTGAGGGTTCCCATCCCAAAAGCAGGCCCCCAGCCCAGGCTTCCAGTGCCAAGAGAGAAGTCCCCATAACAGCTTGCTGGGAAAATCAGCAAGGATTGTCGCTGAGACGGGAGGGCTGCTGGAGCTCCAGGTGTTTCTCTTAAAGGGCTAGCACATGAATTTGGACTCACTCTGAGCCCCAGTACTGCAGCAGGAGCTCTAAAGGTACCAGGGCCATGCAGGGAGAAACTGAGTGTCTGGCATCATGACGAGAGCAAGGGGGCAGCCTTCTCTCCAAAGTGTAGGCAAAAGCCACTGTTCCTTTTCTGAGTCCTTCCCCTAGAGAAGGACTGGTAGGCACCATATAAAACTGACTATTAGTTTGCCCTGCACTAGTGATTCGGAAACCCCACTCCACCCAATTTGTGGATGCACACAAACTGTTTCCAATAGCTTTTCTATACTGCCTGTCTTGGCTCATGCTTCAGATTTTCCTAAAATCTCTCAAACATCTGGCCTCAGCATGCACAATACCTATTGCTAAGTGGCCCCAGTGATAGCAACTTGGCTTAGTAGCTTGCGACCTCTCCTGTGCACCTCCAAACCCAGAGCAAGCAGCAGCTATCTGCAAATTGCTTTATAGCTCATATTGGGTGGCCCTGGGCAGAACACAGGTAGCCACTGGCCTTGGTCTGCATCTCCTGTGATTCCCCAGAGCCACCTCCACAAGTGACACACTCAAGGGGCAGAGTCAGTGAGCACTTGAGTCCTGCTGAGGTCCTGCTCTATTGGGTAGGCCCCTGCACAGCTGATCCTCCGTGGTGGTCACAGCCAGCCCTTGCAGCTGATCTGCCTGGGTTGAATTGCTCCCACTGCCATGCCAACAGCAATCAAGACAACTACAACAGAAGGGTGTACGCAGCCCACAAAGGTGGCACACCTGAAGTGCCCAGCTTGGGTGACTGGGGAGGCTGTGACATTGGACCCTATAGGACACCCAGTACATAAGGTCCTTCTACCAAGCCGAGGAAATATAGCAGCTCTACCAAATATATAGAAACAAACACAGAGAGGCAGCCAAAGTGAGGAGACAAAGAAATGTGTCCCAAATGAAAGAACAAACTACAGAAAAAAACTATATTTAATGGAGCCTTGTCATCTATCAGATACAGAGTTTAAAACACTGGTTATAAGGATGCTCAGTGAACTTAGGGGAATAGATGAACTTGGTGAGATCAATAGACAGACAGGAAACCTAAAAACAGAACTAGAAACCATAAAAAAGCTCTCGTCAGAAATGAAGGATACACTAACTGAAATGAATACATTACAGGGAATCAACAGTGGCACAGATGAAGCGGAATATCGAATCAGCAATTTGGAAGATAAGGAAGTACAGCACACCCCATCAGAACAGCAAAACTAAAATAGAATCCGCCCTTCCCCACTCCCAAAGAAGATACTATGATCCCCTGGGACAACTTCAGTCATACCACCATTCACATCATAGGGTTACCAAAAGGTGAAGAGAGAGCAAGGAACTGAAAACCTATGTGAAAAATCATCACAGAAAACTATAACCTGGTGAAGGAAATACACATACAAGTCCAGGAAGTACAGAGTCCCAAACAAGATGAACTCAAAGAGGCCCACACCAACACACATTATAAATAAAATACAAAAGGTTGAAGACAGAGAATCTTAAAAGCAGCAAGAGAAAAGAAGTTACCTACCAAGAGAAAAATTACCTACAAGGAAGATCCCATAAGACTGTCAGCTGACTTCTCAACAGGAACTTTGCAGGCCAGAAGAGAGTGGCAAGAAATATTCAAATTGATGAAAAACACAGATCTACAACCAAGATTATCCAGCAAAACTATCATTTAAAATCAAAGGACAGATAAAGAGTTTCCTAGATAAAAAGCTGAAAAAGTCTTCTTTAAAATGGAAGGGACGTTTAGGGGATTGGGTGAAAAAGGTGAAGGGATTAATAAATATAAATTGGTAGTTACAAAATAGTCATGGGCATGTAATGTACAGAATAGGGAATATAGTCAATAATATTGTAACAATGTATGGCAGGGATGTCAAAACTTTTTCACTGGGGCCACATGAGCCTTGCAGTTGCCTTTAAAGGGCTGAATATAATTTCAACTCCTTAACAGTTAAGGGGTAGTTGTATTTATACAGTCCTAAAACCATTTTGGCCCTTTAAAGCAATTGCAAGGCTGATGTGGCCCCCGGTGAAAATGAGTTTGACACCCCTGATATCTGGTATCAGATGGGTACCAGATTTATTGGGGTGATAACTTAGTAAGTTATACAATGTCTAATCCCTGGGTTGTACACCTGAAACTAATACTGTATGTCAACTTTAATTGAAAAGTAAAAAATTACTTAAGGTAAAATTGAAAAAGGAAAGGAAACTCAGGAAACCACTGATCCTTAACTAGAACTAGATTACCTGAAAACCTATTTTGTAATGAACTTCTTTTGATCCAAGTATTGACATTTTCCATATAGTGCTCCAGATAAAATCTATCCATATCTATGTTGAATAATTGATAACTTCCATGATTCTCACATACTCTTTTAAATCTGTCCTTTCTCATTGCTCTTACAATGCTAGGAAACGTGAAGTTCTTGAATGGAACTATTGAGAACCTATAACTTCAAAAATATGCATACATTTTCACTCAGCATCTATGAACTTATCCTGGGGAAGTATTAAAAAATGTATGTTGTGCCCTGGCTAGTGTAGCTCAGTGGATTGAGCACAAGCCTGTGGACAGAAAGGCTGCTGGTTCATTTCCCAGTCAGGGCACATGCCTGGGTTGTAGGCCAGGTCCCCAGTTGGGGGGTGAGAGTGGCAACCAATTATAGTTTCTCTTGCACATCATGTTTCCTTCTCTATCTCTCTCTTCCCCCCCCCTAAAAATAAATAAGATCTTTTAAAAAATGTATGTTGTAATTGATTCCATAGCAGAGACATTTACAAAGATGTTTAGTGAAAAATTGGAAGTAATGAAAATATTTCACAATAGATTGGTTAAGTAAATCTTGTGATATACATCTACACAGTGGAAAACTACATGGCCATTAAAATATTGTTCTTTGGTACATATTGGTGAGTGAAAAAAGGTTACACAGAGGACTCATGGGCATGGACAATAGGGTGGGGATTGGCTGTGGGTGGGGGAGAACAATGAGGGGAAAAAGTGGGACAACTAACTATAAACAATAAAAAGACTTTTAGAAAAAGGTTACAAACAGTGTGATTCCTATAGTGTGATCTCATTGTTAAAAAAAAAACAGTATATACAGATGTGCTGGCATAAAACCTAGGACATACACTACCATACACTACCACTGGATGGTGGGATTTTGATTGTGACTTTTATTTTTGCTTTATTTAACTTGATTTTGAAACAAGGAACCTGTTTTAACTGTATACTTTTTAAAACGTTTTAAAATTTGTTTTTAAACTCCCATCTCCATGATAGAAAGTTTTTTTGTCTTCTCATGGAAAACACGGGGCATGAGGTAGTGTGTGTGGCAGGCACTTCTTCAACCAGTGCTGTTGCACAGGATACTGAGCGTGTTGCTCTACCACATGCAGCCACTGCTCTCAGTTCTCTGTTCACCCCTATCTCTGGTCTTTCACCTTTCTCTATCGTCCTGCACCCTTTAATTTTCTTGCCCTTTACCTCTAAGCTTACAGGTACAATACGCTATTACTAACCAGTATCGCTGAAGGCTTTCAAGGCTACAAAGATTACTGATGACCACCTACCAATCAAAACATATTCAAATGAAATAGAGTACAGAGAAAACACCCTTTTACTCACACCTAGTTTTGTCAAATGTGAACATTTACTGCATTCACTTAAAAAAAAGGTGAAGTACTGAGCCCTGGATGGTGTGGTTCAGTGGATTGGGTGCCTGCAAACCAAATGGGTACCTACTTGATGCCCAGTCAGAAAACATGCCTGGATTGAGGGCCAGGTCCCCAGTAGGGTGCATATAAGAGGCAACCACACATTAATGTTTCTCTCCCTCTCTTTCTCCCTCCCTTC